TCCTCACCTGATAATTCCACAAATAATTTTTCTTGCTTTAAAAACATTTTCACTCCTTCCTGAATGCAATACAAGAGAGTGTCCCAGTTCTGAAACTCAATCAGAGTTTTGGCTGGCTCCATGCACACATCATACTCACAGAACTGGCACTGCACATTAATTACATATATACCATAGAGTTCTGGGGTAGACCGGGGCCGAGGACTTGAATTCATTTGTCTACTGCTGGAACCATTCTTTGGCTTGCATATAATACTTTCTTTCCTTAATAAAAAGTCAATGAGTTTATGTAGCTTTGTCCTTAAAATTAGTCTTTTGTTCACAAATAAAAACTGCATATTCTTATTGTAATGTGCTTCAGAGCTGATATAGCCATTAAGCTCAAACTCTTTATATTTAAAACTTATTTCTCTTAACTTTTGGGACTTCCCCAATCCATAAATTTGACAAAATCGGGAACATACGTCTTTGGTTCTGGGGAGCTGAAGAACCATGGAACCGGAAACATCATTTCTCAAAGAGAAAGAAATGGAAGGGTGCATGAGTGAGAGAGCTTCTATCCTCTGCCTAACCTTCTCAAACTCCAGCCTAGGGTCCATGCATTTCCTCCGTACAGGCAGCTGGTAAAATAGGTTATACACTGTTACAGTTGTCCCAGCGCTTGGTCTAGTCACATCAGCTTCACAAGCTTTCAGGGCTTTTCCATTCTGAAACAGTTTCACAAAAGTTTTCATTGTCCTGTTTTTCTTGGATGAAATTTCCACAGTGCTGGCCATGTCAGCAATACTTGCCAAGGCCTCTCCTCGGAAACCATAAAACCTTGGATTCTCCAAGTCCTGTACCGAGTGGCATTTACTGGTGAAATAACGATTTCCCACTTTGTCTACATCATCACTCCCCATTCCAAATCCATTGTCTATCACTTGAACTTGGAAGGTTTCCATATTCACCCTGACAGCCACACATTTTGCTTCAGCATCAATACTGTTGAGGGCAAGTTCCTCAACACATTGGCCCAAGGAGCTTATGGCCAAACCTGAACGCAATTTGGCTTGTACTTCAGCTGACAAGCACTTGATCATGGCAGGTAGAAAGATGGTGAGAATGCCAGGCACTGGTTTCCTTCTCTGACTGGAAATAATTGCCTATAGGAGAAAAAAACCACACACACACACACATAATCAAAGCTTCAGCATTACACAGTATTACACATTTCTTTCAAGCATTATGAAGAAATAGCATCTGAGGTAAATGAAATTGCTCTTATTAAACTGAATTGTGAAACCAAAGCAAAACAAAGTTATACCTCTGATCTCTAGGCACAGCTCATGCTTGGTGCAATAAATTAACATCCAAAGAAACATTCATAATTTCATAATTTTCAATGCTCCTTTCTAAATTCCACATGCCCTAAAGTGAAATCATAATTACACTTGAAGTTGACTGGTAAAGACAGGATTCGAAATTCTAACCACTTCACCAAAAACAGATGCCTAAATTAAATACAGCTAAGAAACATTAGCTAGAAATTATTCATGACAAAAATTTCCAAGGTAGTTTCATAACATTTATGCATTACACAATAACCATGACTTTTAGAAAAATACTTAAAGTGAATTGCTAAGACATTGTAATAAGGTGAAGCAACAGGAAGAAATTTTAAAAATCAAATTGTTGTCAAGGAAAGGTTGGGGGCATTAGGAGATTATCATTATTATAATTAAGCATAGTCACCTCAGGGGAAAGAGGCCAAGAAAGGGAAAAGATAAAGAAGGAAAATTCCTTTCCATATAAACCTTTCTTTGCCATTTGATTGTTAAATCCTGTTTAATCTTTGATGTTTTTATAAGGTCGTTATTATTCTTTTTTTTTTTTTAAACAGGGTCTCGCTCTGTCACCCAGGCTGGAGTGCAATGAGAGTCTCGGCTCAGTGCAGCCTTTCTTTTTCTCTCAGGCTCAAGCAATCCTCCAGCCTCAACCCCCCGAGTAGCTGGGATTATAGGCGCCCACCACCACGCCTGGCTAATTTTTATCTTTTATGTAGAGACGAGGTTTCACCATGTTGGCCAGGTTGGTCTCGAACTCCTGAGCTCAAGTGATCCTCCCGCCTTGGCCTCCCAAAGTGCTGGAATTACAGGTGTGAGCCACTGCGCCCGGGCCAGAAGGTCATTATTATTAATACTCTTTTGGTCTTTACAGATGGGCATAAACTACTTTGGCAATAATGATGGCATGGAGCTGCCTGAACTTGATTTTAACTTTTCCTGCAAGTAAAAAAACAAAAAACGAAAAAACCAGACCGTAAGATTCTATTGGCATTAAAGGTATTCCCCTCTTCTCCATCAGAGAGCCGTGTAGTTGGGCCCTATGCAGGCAGTGGCGCTGGTTTTCCAAACTCGGGAAAATCAGGGCTCTAACTGCAGAGCTTCTGCTGCTTTCTAAACTAATGCACTCTGTAGCCGGCAGCAAGTGAGGGGTAAAGGTTTAATAAGTATTCCGATTAATGTAAGCCCAACGATTTCCTGATGACGTCTCCCAGCGCCTGGGACGGACGGGACGCATGGGCCCGAATCCAGGGCCCAGGGGCCTGGGAGCGCCTCGCGGGTCGAGCCCCGGGCAGCGCCGCCTTCCAGCCAGGCCCAGCCCCTCCCCAGCCTGCCCCGTCCGCGTCCCCACACTGGGCCCGCCCCGCTGCCAGGCCGCCGGGCCTCCCGGGCCCTTGCGCATCTGGCTCCGAAAGCTGCACCAGGGTTCTTCTGGTGTTAGAAGAGCTCCCGGAATCGTCTTTTCGTCGCGTGCTTCCCCTAGAGTCACCTCGAGTCCCGCTTAACCAACTCCCAAACGCCAACCGCCTCGGACGCTGATGCGCGCACCTTGGGTCTTGAGGCTCGTGCACGTAAGAGCCCACGAGCATGCGCTTCGGAGGGGGCGCGCCAGGCCGCGACACGCCAGTGCACATGCGCGCCAGGTGTTCCAGCCAAGGATCCGCATCCCAGGGTTTAGTGAATGGTACCTACGATTCTCGATCCTCATTTTTTGCATGGTGTGAAAGATTATGCAGTAACTTTGACTTTTGTTTTTGTGTTTTTTTCCCTTTCCCTTTTTGTCATTTTCACCTTTGCTCTTACTACCGTTTAATTCTCTCTCTCTATATATATATTTTTTGAGACGGAGTTTCGCTCTTGTTACCCAGACTGGAGTGAAATGGCACGATCTCGGCTCACTGCAACCTCCGCCTTCTGGGTTCAAGCAGTTCTCCTGCCTCAGCCTCCCGAGTAGGTGGGACTACAGGCACGCACCACCATGCCCAGCTAATTTTAGTATTTTTAGTAGAGACGAAGTTTCATCTTGTTGACCAGGATGGTCTCCATCTCTTGACCTCGTGATCCACCCGCCTCAGTCTCCCAAAGTGCTGGGATTATAGGCGTGAGCCACCGTGCCCGGCCTAATTCAATATATATTTTATGTGTTTGCGGATTGTCTTCTCTCCCTAGAATGTAACCTAGGTGAAGGTAAGGATTTTGTCTATTTTGTTTACTGCTGTATCCCAGTGACCAAGAACAGTGCCTGACCTATGGTACTGAATGAATGAATATTCCAGAGGCTTCCATCTTAGAATTATAGCATTTGGAACTGAAAAAGGCTCAGAAACTGTAGCTCAACTCTTAATTTACAGATGACAACACCAAGACTCTCTTCACTGACTTGAGATCTCCCCAATGCCACCACAGCTTCTTTTATAACTAAAGAAGACAGAACTCTGAAAATGTTGTGAGAATAAAGTGTTCTGGAATTGTTAACCAGTCCTTAGATTTGGCTAACTCGTTTTCATTGAGAATTTAAAGTGGCTGATTATTGTTAGAATACTGGACTGTATCTTGCTCATTTTCACTTCCCCTATTAAATTTATAACAAATTTGTCAGACCTGGTAAGCATTTGATATATGCTCATTTAGTGGTGAACCAAACTCAACTCACTGATTAAGTAAAATACTGATAATTATTACTATTGCTAGGGCTGCCATAACAAAGTACCTCAGACTGAGTAGCTCATACAGCAGTTTATTTCCTCTTAGTTCTGAAGAGAAGTCTGAGATCAAGGTATTGGCAGCAATTATTTCTTCTAAGGCCTCTCTCCTTGGCTTGTAGATGGCCATTTTCACAGGATCTTTCATTTTGCACATGTGTCTATGTCCAGTATGTTCTCTTATAAGGACACCAGTCAGATTGGATTAGGGCCCACCCTCACAGCCTCATGTAACCTTCAGCTCTTTAACTGCCCTGTGTCCAAATCGTCACTTTCTGAGGTACTGGGGATTGGGACTTTCACATATGAATTTGGCAGGGACACAGTTCAGCCCATAACATAACTTTTGTGAATTCCTTACCCAGAGAAAAGAAACAACAGCAGAAGTTCCAGAAAACTGAAAGTAATTCATCCAGAACATCATGTGAGCAGCTAACAAATTGAACTTGCAGTATTTGTTCTCATTAGGCATGCAATTTCTTGAAGACAATTTCATGGAAACCATTTGAAGAAATGACTCAAAGTAACATAACTTTTTCTCTTTTCCTTTTTTTTTTTTTGAGACAGAGTTTGCTATTGATGCCCAGGCTGGAGTGCAATGGCATGATCTTGGCTCACCCCAACCTCCGCCTCCCAGGTTCAAGTGGTTCTCCTGCCTCAGCCTCCCAAGTTAGTTAGGATTACAAGCATGCGCCACCACACCCAGCTAATTTTGTATTTTTAGTAGAGATGGGGTTTCTCCATGTTGGTCAAGCTGGTCTCGAACTCCCGACCTCAGTTGGTCTGCCCATCTTGGCCTCCCAAAGTGCTGAGATTACAGGCATGAGCCACTGTGCCCAGCCAACATAACTTTTTTCTTTCAGACCTCTTTAAATTACTTCAAATCCTCTTCCCACAAATGTTTATTGAATAAATACCTCTTATTTCACCCAAAAGGAAGTTCACTGAAGATTTTTTAAAAGTACTCTAAGCAGAGGGTTCTAAAGTTTTTATTGATTAGATTTGTGTACAGTTGTAATCCTTCCATCATACAGGTAATGTAATAACATTCAAATATCTGACATTAAAATAACTTATTGACTAATGCTAATATTAACACACAATAGTTCTATCTCTATTAACAATAAAAACCAAACCACTGAGATGTTTAAAGTGAGACCATTATTTTATAATTTGGAAGTCTGAGTAATCCAACTTTAAGATGACTTTCTCATTGTTGAAGTTTGCTTTGTCGATGTGTGATTTGGGACTTCCTCTTGTTTCCAGCCATTCCTGCATATGACGCACTTTGGAGATGGGACCTTGCAATTGTCCTTGCACTGTGCCCTGGTCAGTGTTCTGGACCCAGCCTACCAATCCCAGCTTTTTACCCTCAGCCTAAGAGGGAGAAAAAAGAGAGAAATCCAGTAAGACTGAAGAAAACAAAGACTACCATCTGTTGCCAGACTCTTGGCCTAGAATCAAGCCACTGAAACTAATTTGATATTGCCCAGAACAGTCAAAACAGAAAGACAGCAGGAAGGATCTCATTGCTGATCTTCACATGAAGTGTTGGCCACTTGATTCCATGTCCTCCTTCTTCCACCCTATAAACCCAGGCACTAGAATTTTTCAGTGTGTAGTCAATTTTGTTAAGTACCAAAAACTTAAGTCCAAAACAGATGCCTTTAAAATGATCTCCTAAGGCTGATTGTTGTTAGAATACTGAACTGTATCTTGCTCATTTTCCCTTCCCCTAATCAAGAATCTATTGGGAAAAAGCATGAAGTTATTTGATCCTTCCCCTTGCCTTTAAACCAGGACCACACCTAAACAAATCCAGATGAATTAGTGTTCATTATATCTTCAAAGATCATTAGAAAGTATTTCAAGTTCAAAGCAAAGACATGTTTGCTTAATTTGTTTGTTATTTCCTGGGCAACTCATCCCATTGTTCTTACTGTAGTGAAACTGTCTAACCCAACATCTTTATATTGTATCCAAAGCCCACTTTGTTATTTTCCTAGAAAAGGAAAGCAGCTTGCAATCAGCCTCTCAACAGCAAACCATGAGACTACGTAACTATCAGGTTTTCGCTTGACTTTCTTCTCTTACCTAATAATCACAATGCCTTTAGGCTTATGAAAAGCATCTGATCATTATGGTGGCTTGTCCTTTTTAAAGTTCTTTCCTTTTATTATACTATGGCAAGACTGAATGTTTAGGAAAGGTAGCAATGCTTTGGAGCTAATTTTATTTTTGTATAAATTTATGATTAGAATATTAACTCACTGATTGTTAAAGTAATCTATCTAATAGAAGGTGTTGGATTACAAAAGAAAATAGGAGTTAACATGATTGCATGTCAAAATGCCAGATCAGTAACTTTGTCAATGTGGGAAATTGCTGGAGGTGGCCAAAGAAAACGTTATGCATAGCAAAAAAAATGTTTGATGAGGAATTGAAGTATCCATCAAATCGAAGACAAGTTCAAAGCAAAGACATGTTTGCTTAATGAACAAAATAGACTCCAGTCAAATAAATAACCGTTTGAGGGATACAGAGGAAATCAAGGAATGAAGAAAAATAGAAGATACCTACCCGATGCACTGCTAAGTGCCAAAGATGATAGCATAAAAGAATACTGCTGGGAATTAATTTTGAGTAAGATTCCACATCCAACTGACTTGGTATAACAACTGCCCTCTTCTGCTTCAAATTAACCTAGGGGAGCTGACTATCTCTAGTTCTTAAGAGTTATCTTAAATAGTAAATAGCTATAAAAATGTGCAGTTTTAAACAGGAGGTTGTAATAGTCAAGTAAATCTTTAAAAATCTGCAGTGTGATTTATCTGAACTCTTGAGAGTGAACAGAACACTCCAAAGTTTAACCAGTACTGAGAATGGGTGTTTCCTACTGGTTTCATTTGTGTGCTCAATTCTGTTCTTATTTTTTTAATGATGGCATAATGTTGTTGACTCATGTTCAGTTGTGAATATCTATTGAACAAGTAAACAGGGTTTTTATTTCCTAAGAAAATGTCAAAAAGCTAATTCTACCTCATAACCACATTTCTGCTTAAACAATCATCTGACAACATTTTAAGGAACATAATCACCAACCGTAGTTGCAATCTAAAAAAAAAGTCTCTTCAAATCAGTAACCAAGATATCCACCTTGGGATAGCAGAAGAAGAGCAAACTAAATTCAAAATAAACAGAAACAAGGAAATAAAGATTAGAGCAGAAATTAATGGAAAGTGGAAGAATAAAGAAAATCAATAAAACAAAAGTTGCTTCTTTGACAAGATCAACAAAATTGACAACCTTTAGCTAGACTGATAAAGAGGATGAAAGCCTCAAATTACTAAAATCAGAAATAAAAGAGAAGACATTATCACCAACCTTACAAAGATAAAAAGGATATGAGGGAATTCTATGAACAATTATATGCCAACAAATTAGATTAACTTGGATGAAAAAAAACCTAATATCTAGAAAGACAAACAACCAAAACTGAATGAAGAAGAAACAGAAAGCCTGAATAAACCTATACCAAGTAAAGAGATCAATTTTTTTTTTTTTTTGAGACAGAGTTTTGCTGTTGTTACCCAGACTGGAGTGCAATGGCATGATCTCGGCTCACTGCAACCTCCGCCTTCTGGGTTCAAGCAATTCTCCTGCCTCAGCCTCCCGAGTAGCTGGGACTACAGGCGCGTACCACCATGCCCAGCTAATTTTCGTATTTTTAGTAGAGATGGGGTTTCACCTCCAGGATGGTCTCGATCTCTTAATCTTGTGATCCACCTGCCTCGGCCTCCCAAAGTGCTGGGATTATAGGCGTGAGCCACCGCGCCCGGCCAAAAGATCGAATTTTTAATCAAAAAACTTCCCACAAAGAAAAGCCCAGGACCAGATGGCTAAATTCTACCCAATGTTTAAAAAACAATCCTTAGGCAGGGCTCAGTGGCTGATGCCTGCAATCCCAACACTTTGGGAGGCTGAGTCGGGCAGATCATGAAGTCAGGAGATCAAGACCATCCTGGCCAACATGGTGAAACCTCATCTCTACTAAAAATACAAAATTTAGCTGGGCATGGTGGCACATGCCTGTAGTCCCAGCTGCTTGAGAGGCTGAGGCAGGAGAATCGCTTGGACCCGGAAGGCAGAAGTTGTAGTAAGCTGAGATCGTGCCACTGCACTACAGCCTGGTGACAGAGCAAGACTCCATCTCAAAGCAAAAAATCCTTTACCAACCCTTCACAAACTCTTCCAAAAAAAAGAAGAGGATCCAAAACAAGAATTAAGCATTAAAAAAAGAAGAAGCACTTCCCAACACATCCTATTAAGTCAGTATTATTCTCATACTAAAACCAAAGCTAAAAAATAAAAATAAAAAATAAGGAGAAAAAAAAGCCCAAGGTAAAAGAAAAAACAAATAACCCCCCAAAAAGCTAAAGCTGTCACAAGAAAAAGCAACCAAAAAACCATACTCTTATGAACAGAGATGCAAAAATTGTCAGCAAAATACAAGCAAACCAAATCCAGCAACATATAAAAAGAATTGTACACCATAACAAGTTAGGATTTCTTTCAAAAATACAAGGTTGGTTCAATATATAAGAAGTAATCAATTTAATATACCATATTAATAAAACAAAGCTATATGGTCATCGTAATAGACGGCAAAAAAAAATCATTTGACAAAAACCAATGCCTCTTTTATAATAAAAATACTCAACAAACTAGATCTATGAAAAACCCACTGCTAACATCATACTTAGTGGTGAAAGACTGAAAACGTTCTCATTAAGATCAGGAACAAGACAAGGATGTCTGCTGTTACTACTCTACCCAATGTTATATTTGAGGGTCTTCTACAGCAGAGAAAAAGAAAAGTCATTCAGATTGAAAAGGAAAAAGTAAAACTACCTCTACTTACAGATGACATATCTTGTATACAGAAGTCCTAAAGAACATACACAGGCACATATTAGAGCTAATAAACAGTTTCACAAGGTTGTAGGATATAAGATTGTTATACAAAAATCAATTGTAGGCCGGGTACGGTGGCTAAAGCCTGTAATCCCAGCACTTTGGGAGGCCGAGGCGGGTGGATCACGAGGTCAAGAGATCGAGACCATTCTGGTAAACATGGTGAAACCCCGTCTCTACTAAAAATATAAAAAATTAGCTGGGCACGGTGGCGCGTGCCTGTAATCCCAGCTACTCAGGAGGCTGAGGCAGGAGAATTGCCTGAACCCAGGAGGCGGAGGTTGCGGTGAGCCGAGATCATGCCATTGCACTCCAGCCTGGGTAACAAGAGCGAAACTCCGTCTCAAAAAAAAAAAAAAGGAACTGCAAGACATATATGGAAAGCTATAAAACATTCTTGAAAGAAATTAAAGAGGATCTAAATAAATGTAAAGACATTCCTTATTGATGGATTGGAAGACTTAATATTGTTAAGATGATAATACTCCCCAATTGATCTACAAATTCAACTCAATCTCTATGAAAATGCCAGTGCTTTTGCAGAAATTGAAAAACTGTTATTAAAATTTACATAGAAACATAAGGGACCCAAGATAGCTAAAAATAATCTTGAAAAGGAAAAACAAACTTGAAGGATTCATATTTCCCAATTTCAAAACTTACTACAAAGCTGCAGTAACTGAGACAGTATGGTATGAGCATAAGGATAGTGGCTTAGTCTGTTTTGTGTTGCTATAAAGAACTACGTAAGGCTGGGTAATTTATAAAGAAAAGAGGTTTATTTGGCTCATGATTCTGTAGACTGTACAAGCATAGGACTGTCACTGGCACTGGGTGAGGGCCTTAGGCTGTTTCCACTCATGGTGGAAGGCAAAGGGGATTCTGCACATGCAGAGATCATGTGGTTAAAGAGGAAGTGAGAGGGGTAGGAAGAGGTAAGGTACTGGACTCTTTTTAACTAGTTCTTGAGGGAACTAATTGAGTGAGAACTAATTGACCATTCCACCCCCAGGAAGGGCATTATCTACTCATGAGGGACCTGCCCCCATGACTCAAACACCTCCCATTATGCCCCACCTTCAACACTGGGGTTCAAATTTCAACATGAGATTTGAAGGGAACAAACCTATACCAGAATAGTACTGAGAGTCCAGAAATAAACCCTTACATTATGTTGATTTTTGAAAAAGGTGTCGTGACAAATGAATGTGGGAAATGATACTCATTTCAACAAATGGTGCTGGGACAACTGGATATTCATATACAAAAGAATAAAGCTGGCTCTCCTACTTCACATCACATAAAAAATAACTCAAACTGGAACAAAGACCTCAATCTAAGAGTGTAAAACTATGAAACTTTGAAGAAAACATAGGCATGACAGCTGGGTGTAGTGGCTCACACATGTAATCCAAGCACTTTGAGAGGCTGAGGTGGGCAAATTGCTTGAGGTCAGGATGAGCCTGGGCAACATGGTGAAACCCAGTTGCTACAAAAAACAAAAGCAAAACAAACAAACAAAAAAACACAAGCATGAACCTTCATGACCTTGGATTAGGCAAAGATTTCTTAGATATAACACTAAAAGTACAAGCAAAAAAAAAGAACAGATAAATTTGACTTCATCAAAAGTAAAAACTTTTGTACTTCATAGACACTATCAAGAAAGTAAAAAGACAACCCACAAAATAGGAAAAATATTTGTAAATCATGTATCTGTTAAGGGACTAGTATCCAGAATAAAAACATTCTTACAACTCGAAAATAAGAAGGCAAATAACGAAAAATGGGCAAAAATATTTGAATGGACATTTCTCCAAAGAAGACATAAAATATGCCAATAAGCAAATGAAACGATGCTCAACATCACTAGTCATTAGGAAGGCAAATCAAAACCACCCTGAAAGTATACACGTACAACAGGATATTATTCAGCTTTACAAAGAAAGGAAATTGTTTTTACTTTCATTATATAACATGAATGAACCTTGAGGATATTATGCTAAGTGAAATAAGCCAGCCACAAAACGACAAATTCTGTCAAATTCCACTCATATGAGGTAACCAGAGTAGTTGAATTAATAGAATATAGATTTATGATTGTCAAGGGCTTGGAAGAAGGAGAAAATGGAGAGTTAGTGTTTCATGAATACAGTTTCACTTTTAGAAGATGAAAAGCATTCTGTGGATGTAAAAAAACAATGTGAATGTACTTAAGGCCACTGAATTGTACATTTAAAAATGGTTAAAACAGTAATTTCTATGTTTTATGTATTCTACCACAATTTTAGAAATAAGTGTGCTATATGGTTTCCATATATTTAGGGATTTTCCAGTTATCTTTTTAATTTTTTTATGTGGTTTACTTCCACTGTAGTTGGAGGACATTTCTTGTATGACTCAAATCCTTTTAAATGTATTAGTATCTGAAAAACAAACAACTGCAATGAAATATTACCTCATCCCCACTAGGATGGCTAACATAGAAGACAGCAACCACTGTTGGCAAGGATGCGGACAAATTGGAATTCTCGCACATTGCCAGTGATAACATGAAACTGTATAGCTACTTTGGAAAAGTTTGGCAATTCCTCAAAAAGTTAAAAATAAAGTTACCATATGACCCAGAAATCGACTAGTATTTACATAATCAATGGAACTGAAAACGTCTACACAAAAATATGTGCATATGTGTTCATAGCATTATGATTCATAACGGCCAGAAATCAGAAACTCAAATTTCCATCAATTGATGAATGGATAAAAAAATGTGGTATATCCATATAATGGGATATTATTCAACCATAAAAAGGAATGGAATACTAATACATGCTACAGTGTAGATAACCTTGAAAACAATACGTTAAGTGAAAGGAGCCAGTCACACAAAAAGGACACATTTGAATGATTCCATTTATATTAAATATTTAGAATAAGCACAGTGGCCCTCGCCTATAATCCCAGCACTTCGGGACACTGAGGCAGGTGGATCACCTGAGGTCAGGAGTTTGAGACCAGCCTGGCCAACATAGCTCTCTATTAAAAACAAAACAAAACAAAAAAAAGTGGGTGTGATGGCATGCGCCTGTGGTCCCAGCTACTTGGAAGGAGGATCATTTGAGCCTGGGAGGTTGAGGCTGCAATGAGCTGTGACCCTGCCACCACACTCCAGAAAAAAAAAAAGAAAAAGAGGCACTGACAATTCACACTCATATTCCTAAGATTCAGGTTACAATTTGAATTGTGAGTACCACAGTCCCAAGAATGAGACACTTAAGAAGTCCTGCAGTTCTAACTCATTATCTGTGAGATTAGAGACATATTGGGAAGGCAGTAGCCAATGCCTGCGGAAGGCAGAGGAAACAAGCTTGCATTTGTGTGTGCCTGTTGAGGGAAGATTAGCCACACAAAAGCAGAGATAGAGGCTGCTCTTCGGTCAATGTTAGCCTTCCTCTAAGAAATCTGATTTGGTTGGATGATGCCACACAGTGAGAACTGCAAAAGCCCTCTATTCCCCTTGGAAGGGAGAAGCTCATTAATACGTGTGTCTAGCCGGGCGCGGTGGCTCAAGCCTGTAATCCCAGCACTTTGGGAGGTCCAGGCGGGTGGATCACGAGGTCAAGAGATCGAGACCATTCTGGTCAACATGGTGAAACCCCGTCTCTACTAAAAATACAAAAAATTAGCTGGGCATGGTGGCGCGTGCCTGTAATCCCAGCTTCTCAGGAGGCTGAGGCAGGAGAATTGCCTGAACCCAGGAGGCTGAGGTTGCGGTGTGCCGAGATCGTGCCATTGCACTCCAGCCTGGGTAACAAGAGCGAAACTCCATCTTAAAAAAAAAAAAAACAAAAACGTGTGTCTAGATGCTCAGGCGCCACTGTTAGAAAAAGACCGATAATAACAGCAGAATGATCTTCCATTTACACCATGTTTTACCGATTGCACAGCATTTTCTACTCATTGCTCTACAAACTCCCTCTTTGCCATGCAGCTACCAAACAGCCAGCGGCTTCCAGTTCACAGTTGTCAGGAACATGTCCCTTGTTCCCATGCTCACAACCTAGGTTACGTCCCCAAAGCCTGCAGGCCACATACCTGAGTATACTTGCGGAAAAACACCCCTTGGACCCTCCCAAAAACTTCATAATCCACTGATATCAGGGTGTCTCCTTCTGCCATGCTCAAACCTGTCAGAAACCAGGAAAGCAGAAGAGTGAAGGACTATTCCAGGACCCGCAAGCCTGAGTCAGAAAGGGCCACACCCACACCTGTTCGTCCTTAAGCACTGCGACCTCGCTGTGAGTGGATGTGATAAGGCGTGTGTCAAGGAGGAGCCAGACGCCGGGGGAGGAAGCTTCGGTTCGCAGCTGCCGGCTGAAGCCTCTTCTGGGGAAATCACCTGCTGACCAATGACCTCCCTTACATCCATGCCGGGTCCCGCTCTCTCCCGCTACTAACCCCCAGAATCCCCTGCTACTAACATTTTAGTGCTAATCGACCTGACAAGCACACTCCGGGGACCCCTCCCGGCTCACCCTCCTTGTCTTCCCCACCAGCCGCCGGGACCACACAGGGACCACCAAGCCAACGGCTCACCAAGGCGCGCAAACCTCCGCGCCCGGAAGTTTAGTCTGCAGCTGCCCCTTCGCTGTCTCTCATGCCCATCACCTCCACATGACCAATCAGAGACAGCGCATCGGCCCGAGCCCGCCCAGAAGATGGGACTTCAGGACGCGGCTGTCCGGCAACCCAAAAAGCTTTGGGTTGGGGATCTGTCCAGGATCTCGGCTGGGCCTCCAAACATCTTGCCCTCATCCCATTTTATTCACCAAGCGCACCCCTCTTCTCATTTTCTCATGGAGAGAAAGGCATAGACGAAGTACATTGGGATACATTCAATTAAATACCGACTGACAGCTACTGTGTGCCAGGCACCTGTTCTAGGTGACCTGGCAAACGTTAGTCAACAAGACAGGATCCCTGTCCTGGAGGAGCTTAATTCTGGAAGTGAGAGACAAACAGTACACATTAGATACCATAAATAGCTTGTAATCCCAGCATTTTGAGAGGCTGACGCGGACAGATCACTTCAGGTCAGGAGTTCGAGACCAGCCTGGCCAACATGGTGAAAAACCATTTCTACCAAAAATACAAAAATTGACTGGGTGTGGTGGTGGGTGCCTGTAATCCCAGCTCTTTGGGACACTGAGGCAGGAGAATCGTTTGAACCTGGGAGGTGAAGGCTACAGTGAGCCAAAATTGCCCCACTGTACTCCAGCCTGGGTGATAGAGCAAGACTCTGTCTCAAATATATAAAGAAATAAAAATAAACATCATATATAAGTTGAGTAGGATACATATAACCTTTCTATCCCTTTTCATTCAGTTCTCCTTAAATTTTGGGTCATAGCTAATCTGGAATAGGGGATACAGGGACATAAGTGCACAGGAGGTCCCAATGGAGGTTATTTCTCCTTCTGGGCTTCTGGAAACTACTCACTGGTCTCCCTTACTATGAAAATGTCAAATAATGCTTGAACAAATAACTAAACAAATAAAGTAAGAGCACAAGCAAAATAACTCATGGCTCCAGAATTACAGCTGAATCTGTCAATCTAAGCCAAATGGCCAAACTACATAAATTTATTTTGGGAAAAGGGAATTGTCAGGGGATTTGGATGAAGATGGTTAAAATTAGAGTTGATGTGTAGACATTTGAATCCAGCTACCCTTATGATTCATAATGTGTGTGGAAAAAAAAAACTGTGGTGTTTATTGGACCTTTGTGGATTGCTTGTATATACTACACCCCTTCATAAGACTCCTTATATGAATATGCCAGGTTGGCAGACTTGGCAATGAGAGATGGGTTTGTGATGGTAGCCATGGAAATTCATCAATCTGCTAGTTTCCTGCTACAGAGTGAGGATCCATATCCTAGAGAATCGTAAAACGTTAGTGTTGAGAGGTGGAGGGTTGGTGGTGGACGAGCCGGATTGAATATTGTGCTTGGCAATATCTGAAAATAACTCTAAACACAGTATCTGGCTGATGGTATTTCTTTCTCTAAAATTGATTTTAAAAAATAGTTTCTCAGCTGGGCGCGGTGGCTCATGCTTGTAATCCAAGCACGCTGGGAGGCCAAGGTGGGTGGATCATGAGGTCAGGAGTTCAAGACCAGCCTGGCTAAGATGGTGAGACCCCATCTCTATTGAAAATACAAAAATTAGCCGGGTGTGGTGGCGGGCACCTGTAATCCCAGCTATGAGGAGGCTGAAGCAGGGAATTCCTTGAACGAGGGAGGCAGAGGTTGCAGTGAGCCGAGATCATGCCACTGCACTCTAGCCTGGGTGACAGAGCAAGACTCTGTCTCAAGAAAAAAAAAGTTTCTCTATAGAATTCAAAACCTACTGAGTGTCTAATATGTATGGGGCACTCTAAGATATACAAAGATGAATTATAATGTTTGCCCTCAAAGAGTTTTTAACTTAGTGTAAGGGGTATATATGCATTCAAATAATGACAATAAAATGTACAGCATGGTAATTTAATTCCATGAAAATCCACTGAGAGCTCATCAGGAACCAGCCCTGTGCTATCACAAGAACAGAAAATATTACGAACGAGCAAAGAAATTAATTCTGACTGGGAAGACTGGGAAAGGGTTTTTGGAGGAAACAACATTTAATCCAAGGTCACACAGCCAGTAAGTGATGGAGCTGGGATGTGGTTCCTGAGAGTCAGTCTAGAGTCAACTCCCATGAATGATATGCTCTACCAGCTCTCAGTCCGTGGAGCTTAGAGTAAGGTAGCACCATGAAGATGAAGAAGTACAAGCAGTCAGTTGTGGCTAGACCAGAGGTTCACCACCCTGCTTGTGCATTAGGATCTTTGAGGAAACTTTAAAAAATACTAATGCTCGACTGGGTGCAGTGGCTCACGCCTGTCATCTGAGCACTTTGGGAGGCTGAGGCAGACAGATCACAAGGTCAGGAGTTCGAGACCAGCCTGACCAACCTGGTGAAACTGCATCTCTACTAAAAATACAAAAATTAGCCAGGAGTGGTGGCACACACCTGTAATCCCAGTTACTCAGGAGGCTGAGGCAGAAGAATCGCTTGAACCTGGGAGGCGGAGGTTGTAGTGAGCCGAGATCACACCACTGTACTCCAGCCTGGGCGACAGAGGGAGACTCCATCTCAAAAAATAATAATAATAATTAATGCTCAGGCCTCACCCTTAGATATTGCTTTCCAAGTAGTCTTAACACACAGCTAGGGTTGAGACTCACTGGGTTGGACCCCGGGGGCTTATTAAGGGGAGGCAAGACTGAAAAGGTAGGCTGGGCCTAATCTGGGAGGTAGAAATGCCATGCTAACTCATGCATTTCAACTTTATTCTCTAGGTAGAGAAGAAGCCACTGGGGAGGGATATGAGAGGGTTAGAGATATTTAGTAATTAGCTTGATTTAATCACTGCACAATGCATACATGTATCAAATCATCACTTTGTACACTGCAAATATAGATATAATTTGTACTTGTCAATTATATCTTAATAAAGCTCAGGGGGAAGAAATATTTAGGATAATTATTCTGGCAGCAGCATGAAGGATGGGTCTGAAGAGCAGATATTGAAGGCAAGAAGAGAAGTTAGGATGGCTATGCCATCCCAAGGAGAAGTGAAGAAAAACTCACTTGGGGCAGCAGAAATGTAAAGGAAGAGTCATATATGAGAGACGTTGCAGAAGTGAATGAATAGGCTGGGTGCAGTGGCTCAAGCATGTAATCTCAGCACTTTGGGAGGCTGAGATGGGTGGATCACCTGAGGTCAAGATCAGCCTGGCCAACATGGTGAAACCCCATTTCTACTAAAAATACAAAAATTAGCCAGGCATGGCGGCATGCACCTGTAGTCCCAGCTACTAGGGAGGCTGAGGCAGGAGGATTGCTTGAACCTGAGAGGCAGAGGTTGCAGTGAGCTGAGATCGTGCCACTGCACCCCAGCCTGGGTGACAAGAGCAAGACTGTCTCAAATTTTTTAAAAAAGTAAACTCAATAAAACCTGTGATCAGTTAGAAAGAAGAGGCAATGGTCAGGCACAGTGGCTCTTGCCTGTAATCCTAGCACTTTGGGAGTCCAAGGCAGGCGGATCACCTGAGGTTGGGAGTTCAAGACCAGTCTGACCAATATGGAGAAACCCCATCTCTACTAAAAATACATAATTAGCTGGGCGTGTGGGTGCATGCCTGTAATCCCAGCTACTCATGAGGCTGAGGCAGGAGAATCGCTTCAACCCAGGGGCGGAGGTTGCGGTGAGCCGAGATCGTGCCATCACACTCCAGCCTGGGCAACAATAGTAAAACTTGGTCTCAAAATAAACAAACGAAAAAAGAAAATAAGGAATAGGCAACAAAGAGGGAAGCATGGAAGACTGATGCTGTGGGCATGAACAGGCACACTGGAGAAGCAGATCTGAGAAAGAGAGAGGATCACGAGTTTATGTTATCATATAGAATTTGAGGTTCCTGAGGCACAATCTTGTGGAGGTGTCAAATGGGCAGTCTGAAATTTGAGTCCGTAACTTATGAGAAAGACTAAAGCTAAGTTGGCTGTCATTTAAACACAGGTGAAACCTGAAATTTCAGCATTTGGTTGAAATCATTCAAGAAAAGAATGTCTGGAACTACATATATATATATATATATATATGAAATATGAGGGCTTCAAAACACACTTAAATTTAGGGGGCAGATGGGGAAAAGATATTATATGCCAGAGACTTGGAAGAAAATGGAGCAAGGACACGAAAGAAGAAACCAAGAGGGCACAGGAGCAACTGAGAAGAGCGTTTTAAGTGGGTGGATAATCAATAATGTCATATGAGTAGGATGAAGAAATGAAGCTTTTGTCTTTGGAAGGTCACTGGTAGCTCTGTAGTTAAATAAAGTGGAGAGGCCGGGCGCGGTGGCTCAAGCCTGTAATCCCAGCACTTCGGGAGGCTGAGGCGGGTGGATCACGAGGTCAAGAGATCGAGACCATCCTGGTCAACATGGTGAAACCCCGTCTCTACTAAAAATACAAAAAATTAGCTGGGCATGGTGGCGTGTGCCTGTAATCCCAGCTACTCGGGAGGCTGAGGCAGGAGAATTGCCTGAACCTAGGAAGCGGAGGTTGCGGTGAGCAGAGATGGCACCATTGCACTCCAGCCTGGGTAACAAGAGTGAAACTGTCTCAAAAAAAAAAAAAAGAAGTCTTGTGGGGAGAAGAGGAGAAATGAATGGGACTGTAACATGAAAGTTAGGTCAAGGGAAGTAGTTTGTTTTGGAGGGGAAAGTTGAGTATCTTAAAACCAAAGAGATGGAGTTTATGGAGAGGTACAATTTGAAGTTAACAAGATGCAGGCAGGGTGTTGTAGCTCACATCTGTAATCTCAGTACTTTGTGAGACTGAGGCGGGAGGATCTCTTAACTCCGGATGTTTGAGTCCAGCCTGGGTAACAAAGGGAGACTCTGTCTCTACAGAAAAAAAAAAGTTAGCTGGGTGTGGGGGGCACACACCTATAGTTCCAGCTACTCCTGAGGCTGAGGTGGGAAGATTGCTTGAGCAGTGGAAGTTGAGGCTGCAGTGAGCCGTGATTGTGCCACTGCACTCCAGCCTGGGTGACAGAGTGAGACCCTGTCTCAAAAACGAAGAACGGGCGCAGTGGCTCACACTTGTAATCCCAGCATTTCTGGGAGGCCAAGGCAGGTAGATCACATGAGCTCAGGAGTTCAAGACCCGCCTGGCCAACATGGTGAAACCCCCTCTCTAAAAAAAATAGAAAAAAATTAGTCAGACATAGTGGCAGACACCTGTAATACTAGCTCAGGAGGCTGAGGTAGGAGAATCACTTGAACCCAAGAGGCGGAGGGTGCAGTGAGCCAAGATTGCACCACTGCACTCCAGCCTGGAAACAGGGCAAGATTCTGTCTCAAAACAAACAGACAAAAAAACCACAAAACAACAAAAAAGGCCAGGTGCGGTGGCTCCCACCTGTAATCCCAGCACCTTGGGAGGCTGAGGTGGGCAGACCACATGGTCAAGAGATTGAGACCATCCTGGCCAACATGGTGAAACCCTGTCTCTACTAAAAATACAAAAAAAAAAGCTGGGCATGGTGGCACATGCCTGTAGTCCCTGAGTGGAAGGCTGAGGCAAGAGAATCACTTGAATCTGGGAGGTGGAGGTTGCAGTGAGCCCAGATAGTGCTATTACACTCCAGCCTGGGCAACAGAGCGAGACTCTGTCTCAAAAACAAACAAACAAAAAACCCAAAAAAACAAAAACAAAAACAAAATGCAGGGGTATCTAGCAGAACTCTGAGTCAAAAATTAAAAAAAATAAAAATAGTAATAACAAAATGCAGGGGTAAAGTGACAAAGTCAGTTCCCGGAGGGTACTGAAAAAAACTAATTCGGGGCTGGGCATGGTGGCTCCTGCCTGTAACTTTGGAAGGTCAAGGCAGGTGGATCGTGAAGTCAAGACTACTAAAAATACGAAAATTAGCCGGGCGTGCTGGCCTGTGCCTATAGTCCCAGCTACTGAGGAGGCTGAGGCAGGAGAATCTCTTGAACCCGTGCTGGCCTGTGCCTATAGTCCCAGCTACTGAGGAGGCTGAGGCAGGAGAATCTCTTGAACCCGTGCTGGCCTGTGCCTATAGTCCCAGCTACTGAGGAGGCTGAAGAGGCAGGAGAATCTCTTGAACCGGGGAGGCGGAGAAGAGAGCTCATGGAAAGAAAATGGCCCTTCTTTCTCACAGGAGAGGGAAGGGAGGGGGAAAGAGAGAGAGAGAGAGAGGGGCAAGCTGGTAAATTCTGCCGCGGGCAGACCCTGAGTGGGGAGTGTCTGAAGCTGCACACATGGAGAGGCTGCACACATGGAGAGGCGGTGGAGTCAACTAGGGATGAAAACGAAGAATTAAAAACAAAAACAGGACTGACCTGGAGGGTCCACCAAGGAATTTCTTTGTAACATGTAACAGCTGTAATGTGAAGTATTAACACTGATGACTACTGTCTACATTATTTTCCATGTGCATGAATTGAGCAGTTACAGGGAATAAGTGAACTGCCTGTTCCAAACGGTTTACACAGATGAACCGAAACGAAGAAAAATAAACCTTCTTTTGATGTCAACAAGTTATAGAGTATCATTTAGTGTTGAAACCAGGTTATACTGATTATTTTTCATCTGGTAGTTAACTTTATCATCATTACATTTGGCTGAGTCATTCCTGGGCCCTAAGTAGAGACGGCCAGAGTTACCACGTGAGAGTAAAACATTATAATATCAAAATAATTAGATTGGCCACAAAAGCTACCCCGGAAAGATACAGCGTAGCAAAAACGTCGACAGCAAGTTCCAAAGCCTTGGCGAGGACAAGCAGCGAGCGCGCGCGTGCAGCCATACCTGGGGCCCGCCCAGCGCAGCCGAGCGCGCCGAGAAAGGCCAGCAGCAGCCCCGCTCCCGCCAGGCGGGCGGACGCCTGCATCCTGCGGCGGAAACACGCGGGGGCACAGCCAGGGCCCCCGCCCTTTGCCCGAGAAAGGCACACCCCAGGGTCTGGGAGCATCGTTCTCAGTAAAGTACAAGTTCTTCTTTGATGGAGCCCCAGAAAGACTCTTCCCGCCCCTCCCCTGTTCCCCAAGGGCAGGGCTGGACCGAGCTGCAGAGTTGGCCGGACACTGGGTCAAGTGACGCCCGGACTGACCGCACCCCAGCCCCTGGCCGCCTGGGGTCGCTGGTGCACGGCGCCTGCGCGCGCCTCCCCGAGGAGTTCGCGGCGAGGGGCGGGGCTCGGCGCGCCAGTGACTCCGTCTCCAGGCACCGGGAATAACAGAGCCCAGCTGAGAGCGCCTGCGCGGCCGTCGGTCTCGGGGGAGGTCAGATTTGGGAAACTGGGGCCTGGGGGTTCCCCTGAGCAGGAGCGGTTCGCAGGTACAAGTTCTGGGTACGCAGGGCCTGAGGTATGCAGAAGGGCGGGGAGACTTGGGGTCAGTACCTCCACTTCCCAAGGGCCCGAAGGGCAGGAGGGCGAGAGGGCTTGTCCCCAAAGGCGGAGTCCGCAGTGGGGGCGCCACAGTTGACCCTTCGTGACAGAACGTGACTTCAGCCTTCGGGATCTAAAACAGGCCGCAGCCAGGTCAGGTGGCCTCAACGCTCAGATTACAAAACTTTTACCGTCTGCGCCACGGGGACTCCTGGGATGAGGGTTTGCCAGCCAGGCACCTGCTCCAGGACCCAGCAGCCTCTGTGCTCTTTGGAGTCAAGCATGGTTCCAGTAGGAGGGAAGACCTGAGAGCTCTTTGTGCCACTCAGTACCTCTGGGGCACAGCTGTCTCACCTGCAAAATGGCGAGGCTGGACTCGGAGGGAGCCCTTCAATTTACAGGTGAAGAAACAGGGCCCAGCAAGGCAGAAGTCACTTGTGCTGTTACAAGCCTAAATCCTGACTTTCAATCCGATGCTTTTTCCACCTACTATAGAGTGTACTGTGCGTGGCAGAGGCTGGTGGTGGAGGAAAGAAAGCCAGGTAGTAGAAACACCTGTGGCACCTTCGTTTTTTCTATCCTCAGGGCCTAACACAGTGTCTTGTGCATCATCATCACTCACCGAATGCTTATTGAAGGGAAACTTTGGCAGATCGAGCACCACTGTCCCTAGAAAAGTTTCAGGAAATGTGGGCAGGGCAAATGTAGAAATAGTTTGCTTTAGCAGCCAAGAGTGAATCTCAGACAAACCCTTCCCATGTATCTGGTTTAAATCTCTCATAGGCGTCAGTCCAGGCCCTGAATGGCTGGTCTCCAGTTGGCCTCACATCTGCCTGTGGGCGTTATGCTCCCACATAATACAACAGAAGCTCCAGGGCCCCACTCAGCCAAGCAAGACTCTTACGAACAAGGTGACTCTTCCGAACAAGGTGACTCTTCCCAGCAGTCCCTGAAGGGGCACCTGAGGAACAGTTTCCAGAAGAAGCTTTTGAGCAACAAAGAGTTGACGCTGGATAAAGTCTACCCTCACCCCAAATGGAACACACACGTAAAAGCGCGGAGCTACTCCTATCCCCACTGTACTGAAATCAGCCAGCAAGATCCAGGAAGTGATTCCCAGGGCCAAGGAAAGTGTTCGTTTTACTCGTCAGGCCCTCAATCCTGGTATCCCAAAGCCAATAACCAGGACTTTATTCCCTTGACAAAGAAACGAGTTGGGGTGGACCGGGCGTACCCACTGAAACCTGTGGTCCATCGGAAGTCGTGCAGTATGGGTGAGGCTGGCATGGATGGGGACCAGAATGTCTACCCAAGGCCCCCTGAGCTGAGAGCGTTTTCATCCAGCAACCCTGGTGTGAGGGACCAGGTCAACTTTTCCGTGACTGGTACTGTTCTTGCTGCGGTGCAGGAGGAGAGGGCCGCGGTAAACTTCGAGAGGACTGAGCTGGTGCAGATCCGAAGACTAGAAGCTGCAGGAGAGAACTTAGAGGAGGAAATCCGGAGGAAGCAGAGTCTTCTGAGGGGAAAGCTGAAGAAGACAGAGGAGGAACTCAGAAAGATCCAGAAGCAAAAGGAACAGGCCAAGGAAAATGAAAACAGAGAGCTACAGAAAATTATGCTACCCAGGAGAAGAGTTAAAGGTAATAATAGCAACACCATGTACAAACCTATCTTCTCCCCAGACTCTGAGTTTCAGGAAGAATTCGGTAGAGACAGGAGACAGGATGAAGCTTGGGGATGGTCTCAACAAAATTCGAGTCCATTCCAGCTCTCTGATTATAGAATCCAGAGGCTCAAAAGGGAAAGGCTGGTGGCAAGCAATAACAAAATTCGAGACCGAGTCTCAGAGCCGTCGATGGAGAAGTTCTCTCCGCCTTTAGAAACACCAGGCGGTTCTTTGCAGGGATCCACCAGAAATTCCAGCCTGTCCATGGCACCAGACTCCTCAGGGTCCGGCGGCTCCATTGAAGAGCCACAACTGGGCGAGTGCAGCCACTGTGGGCGCAAATTCCTCTTGCTCAGGCTGGAGAGACACTCCACAGTCTGCAGCAGGATGCGGGAGTCCAAGAGGAAAGTGTTCGACTCCTCCAGGGCCCGGGCTAAGGGCACAGAACTAGAGCAGTACTTGAACTGGAAGGGGCCAGCTTCAGCCAAGGTAACAAGAGCCTTATGGATGTGACTTGATGTGGGGATCATTGTAGGGGTCTGTTATGTCGTCATCAGTTTTCTTTAGGGAAAATTCATGTATCATGTAGGAGGAATTGACATCTAAAATTAACATTTCTTGATTACTACTGTTTGCCAGCATTGTGATGGGAGCTTTCATGTGATTCTCTCATTATCTCTCATTGTATCAATGTAAAAATCAAGACTTGGATAGCCTAAGTGAGTTGCTTGAGGTCACAAACAGCTTTAAGTGGCAGGGTCAGCATTTAACTCTTGGTTGGAATGACTAAAAAAATCTAGACCTAGAATTTGTGCCCTTTGGATTATAAAAGTAATAAACGTTTACTGTAGAAAATTTAAAGGACACAAAAAGGAAAAATGCAGCATTTTCGTTACCTGGAGAGAACTCCTCACTCTTTGCAATGTATTCTGCCACCTCCCAAGACTAGGATCTGTGACACTGCTTTAACTGTCTACTCTTTTAAGATCAGCTCAGTGTTGACATAGCTTCTGAGTAAATAGATGAAATACAACTAAGTTTGGAATTCTTTTTCACCCCATTTAGAGTATAAACACCTTGACGGTAAAACAGACTTTCTTTCTGGTTATCTTACAAACCATGCCCCTGCCAATTATTTCTCACTTTAGAAAAACTAGGTTGTAAAAAGTAAGGGCTTCACAACGCTTACATGATAAATTTAGGCTAACTTCGTAGGCACATTTGGACAACATATCTGGAAAAGATTGTCTCATAAATGAATGACCTGTCAAGGTTGTGCCACTTGGTTTATAGAATGGGTATTTCTCAGTGTGGCATGCGGACAAACTTTATTTTAATAGTCTTAGTGTTTAGTGTTTATTAGAAAAATTTATTAGTCATTTAGTGTTATATTAGGAAAATAGGACAATATATTAAGCCCCTGATTTCCAGGGATCACGAACTTACAGAAAAATCTTAATTAATTGTAAGGATTAAGTGAAAGAACAAATGATTGAAGTTTGGGAAGTGTAGACCATATGATCTCGATCGCCCATCTAGTTATTCCAGAAAAATAAGAAAGTGTCATTCTGCTTTCATTTCTTTCCAACCCTCGCTCTGCTGTGCTGGCACCTCTTGTCCATCAGCACTTTACAGTTTCTGTGTATTTGCTGGAGGCTTTAAAAACTCACATTTATATGATGGTTGTTAGAAAAAATTGTTTACAGTTAGAGTTCTTTCTTTCAGTACAGTTTGGGGAAATCACAAGCAAGTCCCATCTGTATTCAGAGACAACCTCCCTGAAATCTAGTTTTCAAAAAAGAAATCAACATTTTGCTCTTGCAGATAATAATATGATGGCCACTTACTGTTTTTTCCTGTTTTCTTTCTGTTCAACCCAATAATCCACTGGGGATTCACTCTGTCCCACTATAGCGATTTATTTTTGGCCAGAGCCTAAAACATCTTGTGTTTCTTAAATTTGTAAATACAGTTGCAGTGAAGTAAAATAATTAGGTTCCTGAGATCAGACGCTCCAGCTTTATGGCAGCTAGTTTGGCAGAATGTATGACACTGAGGACACCAAGACAGAAGGGAACTAGACTAAGCTGTACCCACACCACCCTGGTAATGTCTCAAGTCTTATTCCACAGTACTGTGCCTTTGGAAACTGAGTGGTTGTATCTTCCTGTCATTCCTCTAGAGTAATTAAGAACAGGTGATTTTCCTGGTATCCTTTAATTTTCACGTAACTTCCAGTGGATGTATACCTCATCTCTCTCCTGAACTAATAAGCATTTTCAAGGACAGGGAACATATCTTTGTGCTTTATGCTTAATAAGTGTTAACTGAATAGAATTTCAGTACAGTGAGGAATAAAATTATAGGAATTCGAGTATAAGAAGTAAATTACTAAAGTGTTTCATACACTTGAGGAACTTTCCCCTAATCAAATTCTTTTAAAGGTTCTGGGACACCATGTCTAACACTCTCTTGCCTTCTTGTCTGTTTCGGTAAGACTTTCCCCAAGGACACTTTCTTTTCCTTTGATAAAATCTCTCTTCCTACTATTCATCATTAACAATGCCAGATCACCAGGAGCTATTTGTCTGCTCTTTTTCTTTTTTAAAAATTTAATAGTATTTGTATGCATTTAAAAAGTCATGTTGTACTGAGTGACCTACAGTGGAGCCCCTAGTCCAGCCCCCAGAGGCAGCCTTCAGTTCTGTTAGATGGTTCTTCTGGTCTGCCCTTCCATATTTCTAAATAATATGCTTATTTTCTTGATTTATCAATTTTCCACATTACCTGTTTTTTGTTTTTTTTTTGAGACAGAGTCTCTATCATGCAGGCTGGAGTGCAGTGGTGCCATCTTGGCTTACTGCAACCTCCACCTCCCAGGTTCAAGCAATTTTTGTGCCTCAGCCTCCTGAGTAGCTGGGATTATACATGTGTGCCACCACGCCTGGCTAATTTTTGTATTTTTAGTAGAGACAGGGTTTCACCATGTTGGCCAAGCTGGTCTTGAACTCCTGACCTCAAGTGATCTGCCCACCTTGACCTCCCAGAGTGCTGGGATTACAGGCATGAGCCATGGTGCTTGGCCTACCTGGTAACTTCTTATGGAAGCTGTGAGTGAAATTCTCTTTCATATCCCCCTCTCCTACTTTTCTCCTTCTCTTACCCTTCCACTGTAGTCGAATCACAATTTTTGGTTAAAAGAAGTCAGCTTTCACATTGTAATGATCATGTAAATTTTGTTCTTTAATGAGTGAATAAATGTTGTCTCTGCCCACATGTACCTAGAGTTAATAATGGACGTTATGTTTTCATTTTCTTCATTTTCTACATACCTCTCCTTATTTTTACCCGCAATGATCCATCTGATATCAGACATCTGTTAATGTTTTTGTAATGCTCAAACACCTCTCATAATCTATCAGTTTGATTTTTTAATTCTGAAAACCTCCCTTCCACCACTCTGATCCCTTCTGCTTCAACCTGGACTGGTTATTTTCTAGGCCTGGTGCAAGCCCATTGTCTTGGGACTTCTCTTTGCTTCTCTTCTGTGTTGGCTCCCCTGTTTGCAGCATTCCGTGTCTTCCTTTTTCTTGCATTACTCCTTGCGTTGCTGAAGCTAAGAAAGGTGCACAGCAGGTATATTGTCTTGGAATGAATGGTAGTATCTATCTAATAGACTCCCATTTGATGATTTGGCTGGGTACAGAATTCTAGGAGGAAAATGATTTTCTGTTAGAACTTTTAAGATATTTCCCACTAGCTTTTAGCATCCAGTGTATTATTGAGAAATCGAATGTCATTTTGATTTCTGTTCCATTACAAGAAACCCGTGTTTTCTTTTTTCTTTTTCTGAAAGGCTTTGGGATTCTCTATTTATTTTGAAATTCTGAAACTTTACAATAATTGTGCTGGATACTTGGTAAGCCATTTCAATCTCAAGATGTGTGACCGTTAATTCTAGGAATGTTAATTGTATTATGTCTTTAATAATTTTCTCCTCATGCTTTCTCTGTTCCTTTTGGAACTCTTACTGGTCACATGTTGGACTTCCAGGATTAACTTTCTAATTTTCCAATCTTATCTTTTCACTTTCCATCCTCATCTTTTTTCCCATTCTGAGAAATTTTTGACAACATTTCTATTTGATTTTTATTTTTAGCTATCAAAGTTTAAATTTATAGTTTAATAGTTCTTTCTGGTTCTCTGGTTGTCCTTTTTTCACAGTATACGCTTCTTGTTTTACGGACACAACCTCTTCTAATACTCATTTTGTTGATACGATTTCATGTTAAAAAAAAGTTTTCTTCCTCTATCTGCCTTGTTGCTGCTTCCTGCGTTTTTTGTTTGTTGACTTTTTGGGCCCTTTTTCTTGTTAGAGCTTTAGCAAATATTTGATGATTCCTGGCTGTCCTTTCATATTTAATCTTAAGTGGGGCTTGTTGACTAAGGACCTTCATATTAAGGTTACTAAATAGCCTTTTAATTAGGGTTCTCCAAGGTATCTGAGGGCTTTTCTCTAGACTGCTCCATGTATCCAAAGAACCCCTCTTTTTCCTAAGAGGATGCCAATATGCTTGATACTCTGGGGGCTGAGCAGGAGAAGGGGGCTGACATTTCCATAATTTGGTATGTACACTTCTACTTAATCCCCATTTTCAGCCCCCAGATTAACCCCCAAGTTTCACTTGTCTGGATTTCCTGAGTCGGAAATTTGTCTGGTTCAATTTCTCCAGAGAATAAATCCTTGTTCTTCTCTAAGTGTGCTTGGGTGTTGGACACTTGGATGTGCAAGGTGGGAGGAGCTGTGGGGTCCTGCCTGTTTTCAGTCCTGTACCTCCTTACTTTGCACCATCTGGTACTTCCAAGCACTGAACTTCTCTGGAGTTCTGCTGGGAAAGCAGCTTGCCTCTCAGCAGTACGCTCTTTGCAGGCCCTTCGTTTGCCTCAACTCTGGCAAGTCAGTTACCACTATTGCTCCTTTCCTGTTCTCTTTGATCTTGCAGATTAGTACCCTTTTCATTTTCTTACTGTTATTCTAATGGAGACTCAGTAAGGAGACAAGTGCCAAGTTGAAAGATCAGTATCCCTTTTACATTACAGGCTGAACCTCCTCGGAAGAGCAACTGGAGACAGAAGCACGAATATTTTATCCGTACCCTCCGCCAGGCTCGAGAGGTCCAGCAGGTAATTGCCAAAGGTGGAAACCCTTCAGACTTGCCTCCCATCCTGCCTTCAGAAAACCCAGACTACATTCAGTGTCCTCACTATAGCCGCCACTTTGCTCCCAAGGTGGCTGAGCAACACATTCCCAAGTGTAAGACCATCAAGAACCGCCCTCCACCTCCAAGGAAGCATTACAGTTGAGCAGATGACAGTGGAAACTTTTGGATAGTTCAGAAAGCTCTGCTTTTCTTTAGGAGTAAATGGGAGTAGAATTTGATACAAAGCAGAAAGAAACGAAACAGCTCCCAGATCTGCCTGCAAAGCTAAAATCTGAGGAGAGAGCCACTGCTAAGCAGCAGGAGGCAGAAGGAAGCCCCAGCTTCCCACTAAATTACAACCTCAGCTGGTATGCTTTATGTTATCGCACTCAGAATTGATGGGTGAAGACACTGAAGAGTTGGGAACAGGCTCCATTAAAGTTCTCTTCTTGCATGCCTGACTTGTGGTTTGTGCTAGTGAAGTGCCTGCATCTGGTTGTGCCTTCTTGTCACTGCATGTATGTCCATAGTTCCTGTTAACTCTTGCTTTTATAGAAGTTGGAGATATTAGGATGTGTTGGTGTCAGAGGGGCATGATGACCGAGATGGTAACTCATTTATAAAAGACAATACAATTTTCCTGTAAGACATTATTAATGAAAATCTATCCTTGGTCTCTCTGGTGCATGATCCTGGCCAAAAACCAATACAAGTATGTGAGGTTAAGGCACCAGTGTCTCCTAACCTTCCCTGTGGTGTACTGTGTAATAAAGGAAAGATCTTTATGTACTTCACAGGGTGGGGATGGGTGTTGCGGGGGGCAGATATTATACTTCTCTCTACTTGTTCTTTTCTAATGCGTTTCATATGTTAAAAAAGAAAGAAACCTCCATTTTAGTTGTTACTAGCACTCTACTTTCAAATTGGTTGGGCTAAATGACTGTTTAGAGGCAGCAAAATCTACCATAAAAGTGAGCTGAGACAGGCTGGGCATGGTGGCTCATTCCTATAATCCTAGCACTTTTGGAGGCTGAAGTGGGAGGACTGCTTGAGGCCAGGAGTTTAAGAGCAGCCTTGACAACAAAGCAAGACCCCATCTCAAAACAAAACAAAGCTGGGACATTGCACAGTGTCACATGCCCTTGCAAATTGTAGCACAGTCAACTTCTATTTCAGAGCATAAACTTTGAAGGGAAAGGGATCAAATCTTTTTAATTTTCTCTGTGTAGCTATTGCCTAGCACAAGTTAGACCCTCAATTAATGAGATCTGGAGATTTAAAATTAAACAAAAAGAAGACTAGTGAAATGAGAGAACTGATAAGTTAATGTCTGTGAGAGTATTATCGATTCAGATAGGAGTGAAGTTAGCACAACAGATAGAAATCCTAGAATTACTGTTCTGCATTACTCACATTGTTACTTTAAAATACTGGAGAAAAACTGGTCAATTTGAGCTAGGCAACAGGGCTAGACAGACAACAAAATCCTATTTTACTAAATAACAAATGGCCACTCACTCTTGTTCCATTTCCTCTGCAGCTTCTGCTGAGTGGCTGGGCTAACAGACCAATTTGAAATGTGAATTAAGGCTTGAATGGTGAAGTTACAGGACATAGGCTGGGAAAAAAATCCTATATATTTAAATATATAGGATTTTATATATAAATACTTACTTCTTTGCACTTTTTTGTTTTTGAGAGACAGAGGCTCGCTCTGTCACTTAGGCTGGAGTGCAATGGCGTGATCTCGGCTCACTGCAACCTCCATCTCCCAGGTTCAAGTGATTCACCTACCTCAGCCCTCCTGAGTAGCTGGGATTACAGGTGTGTGCTGCCATGCCTGGCTAATTCTTTGCATTCTTGTTAATTGTTTCAAAGGAAAGGAGATATCACATCATAACGCTTTTGGTTAGCCCCCTTAAGGAAAGCTCACACAGAGATACTGGATAAACCTAATATGTACATTCTCTAGGCAAGTTCAATGAAATGTGTGCTTTAAGTGGAAATGTAAACTATTATATTGCAATAGATGGCAAGAATAAGCTGTGGCCAAGGTCACAAAATGGCAACATATGGAATGCTTTGCTCCACAGATGTTTTATTTAGCTGGCCTACCATTCAAAATATAATTTGACATTTAAAAACTGGGATATGGGATATAGCTGACATTTAAAAACTGGGATATAGCTCACACCTGTAATTCCAGCACTTTGGGAGGCTGAGGCGGGTGGATCACAAGCTGAGGAGTTCAAGACCGGCTTGCAAGATGGTGAAATCCCGTCTCTACTAAAAATACAAAAATTAGCCAGATGTGGTGGTGTGCACCTATAATCCTAGCTACTCGGGAGGCTGAGACATTGCTTGAAACTGGGAGGTGGAGGTTGCAGTGAGCCAAGGTCACGCCACTGCAGTCCAGGCTGGGCAATAGAGCATGACTCTGTCTCAAAACAAATAACAACAACAACAAAAACTTGGTATATGGAACATCTCTTGAAAAACTGGGAGTTCTTTAAACACTGGGCCAGCAACCTGCACAGCACAGATTGGGTGGGGTTTAGAATCAGATGCTCCTTCAAATGGGAATGGTAGCAGCAGACCACCACAGTCTCACCGGGCCTACTTCACTTCTCTACCTTATTTGCCTGGTCCCATAGGCACTTGGATTTGGGATCCCTGGATAATGTTAGTAAGGTCACAGATCAGGGCCCTCCAGATAGAACAAGTGTTGTTATATGTGGAGAGTGCTTTCTATAGACAATGAAGCAGTTATTCACTCTCATTTTGCTAAAGAAATAAAACAGGCCAGGTGCAGTGGCTCAAGCCTGTAATCCCAGCACTTTGGGAGGCCGAGGCGGGTGGATCACGAACGAGGTCAGGAGATCAAGACCATCCTAGTCAACATGGTGAAACCCCGTCTCTACTAAAAATACAAAAAATTAGCTGGGCACGGTGGCATGTGCCTGTAATCCCAGCTACTCAGGAGGCTGAGGCAGGAGAATTGCCTGAACCAAGGAGGCGGAGGGTGCGGTGAGCCGAGATTGCGCCATTGCACTCTAGCCTGGGTAACAAGAGCAAAATTCCGTCTCAAAAAAAAAAGAAAAAGGAAATAAAACAGTAGTCAATGCCTTAGGGTTCCCTTTAATCTCTATATGTTTAGGCCTTGGTTATATTAGAAATAGCTTTCAGCTTTTAAATTTAGCTTGATCTGGTCTCTGGGAAGACGTAAGAACCTTTTTTTTTTTAAAAAAAAGTCTAAATCTTGGGCCAGCTGAGGTAGCTCATGCCTGTAATCCCAGTACTTTGGGAGGCTGAGGCGGGCGGATCACCTGAGGTCAGGAGTTTGAGACCAGCCTGACCAACATGGAGAAACCCCGTCTACTAAAAATACAAAAAAAAAAAAAAAAAAAAAAAAAGGCTGAGATAGGAGAATCGCTTGAACCTGGGAGGTGGAGGTTGCGGTGAGCTGATATCGCACCATTTCACTCCAGCCTGGGCAACAAGAGCGAAACTCCATCTCAAAAAAAAAAAAAATCTGAATCTCTTCCTGGATAGCTCAGTGGATGGCAGTAAATAAATGCATGCTTGTTAATATCTTATACTACTTTATCCAAGAACCTTTAGTGCAAGTAAACATTTTAAGTTCTAAAGTTCAAAAGGTTGATCCATGGGAAAAATTCCATAGGGAAACTCACATAGGAACTCATTTTATTAAAAATGTGTGTGGACGTGCTGAGACAGTATTTCTGGACAGCAGTGTATGTAATGCAGCACAGCACCTTCTAACCAATGTTTGCTTTCATTATCAATGTATCACTCTCCACAGCTTCACAGGAGGTAAGAGAAATGTGACATAGTGGAGTTTTTCGCCCTAATGTTCATGATTCTGTGAGGTTTAGTGATCAGCTTATTTCCACACTTAATCACTGAAACAATGATTTTTGGCTTTGCAGCAGGAAGGAATGTTGTATAGTCCTGATTACAGCCCACTCTGCCCTAACCATCACGAATACTTTTTTGGGGTTCAGGGATTTCATCTGAGTGAATTTACTTAAAATGCATTCTTGCTTCTGAATTGTTCTATTATGAATGTTTGTGAACATATGGCAAATGAAATGAAAACTGTCTACTTTTGCTTTAAACTTCAGTGAAATGCTCAGCCAAGAGAAGTTGTAACTTAGCTATGCTATGCCAGGGAGACCAAATTCAATTCAATCTCTCTGAGGGAGAAGTTTCACAAACCATAAACTGGCATTATCACTTGGAAAGGCCCCCCACTGAGACTGAGGAGGCAGGTACAAGACGGGATCATCCTTCTTTTAAATGGCTCATTTTTTCCCTCCCTTTGCACTTTTGGCACTTTTAGATCTCATTGGGAAAAAAGCTGTAGCAGCAGAAATGATTCTGCTGGCAAGAATAAGAAACTGGAGAGAAGCAAAGATTATTTCTGTGCAAATGTCCCTTGCATTGTTTCTGTTCCAAGAACATTATTTATATAAAGACTCACAGAATCAAAGATTCACAAAGGCCTAGAATCTGGATGTTTTATCCCCAGAGACTAAGGTCCATGCACAGACTTACCGAGGCACAGCACTGATTGAGAGTTTAAATGTTTATTTAAAACAGAAATGCCAAACCACTCTACCCTCAACCTTTCAAGCAACCTGGCTAACAATAAGCTAGTTCTTCCGCAACAATGTTAGAGCAGAGGAGTAACAGGTTATCGTGTAACTCAAAAGCAATACTACTAGAAAACTTAAAAACACCTAGCACTGCATAAAGGAAAAAAGCAGGACAAAATTTAAAGAGAATTAGCTACAGAAAACCATTCAAAGGCATTTCTACTGCCTCATTTTTTAGTCTATCCCCCTTTGAACTGGTTTCTGTTTGCATACTTGTTTAGTGGAAAAAAAAGTCATAAGGCTGTCCCAGGCACAATATGGGAAAGTGCAAATTGTCTCTAAGGCACAGAACTTAGATTCTCAA